AAATTCACAGGTACATGCAAAAAGTTGAAAATAGACCACCAACTTACACCATACACAAAAATAAACTCAAAATGGATAAAAGTCTTAAATGTAAGATGTGAAACCATAAAAATCCTAGAAGAAACCATAACCACCAAAATCTCAGACATCTCTCATAGTAATATGTTTACTGATACATCTCCTCGGACAATGCAAACCAAGGAGAAAATAAACAAATGGGACTACATCAAAATAAAACGCTTCTGCACAGCAAAAGAAACCATCAGCAAAATAATAAGAGAGCCCACTACATGGGAGGACATATATGCCAATGATACATCTGATAAGGGGTTAATCTCCAAAATATATAGGGAACTCATACAACTTAACAAAAGAAAGGCAAACAATTCAATTAAAAATTGGGCAAAGGACCTAAATAGATACTTCTCCACAATGGACATACAGAAAGCCAAGAGACATATGAAAAAATGCTCAAAGTCACTAATCATTGGAGGAGAACCAAGATGGCAGCATTGGTAAACACCTGTACTTGCTGCCTCCCAGAACCATATCAAAATTACAACTAAAATACATAACAACTATCATCCACAACCACGGGGAACCTGGCTGAGTGGAAGAACTACAACTAGAAAAATAAAGAAGAAAGAGCATTGAGACTGGTAGGAGGTACGGAGGCGTGGAGGTGCGGAGGTGCAGAAGGGGCTGGCACCTGGGTGTGCTGCTTTTTAATTAGGAGGGAGATACAAGCTCCCACATGCTCTGAGCTCCAGTGCTGGGCGAGACTTTGGGGGACCCAGACACATATGGGGAGAAACTGGACTGTCTGGCATCAGGGCAGGAATGCAGGGGCAGCTTTCTTCCAGACAGAGGTACATGCAGCAGCGGTCAGACCTCTCCAGTGCAGGACTGGCTGGCAGCCATTGTTGTTTGCTCTGCCCTGGAGACTCCCTGAGACATCAGCCCACCCAATTTACAACCCTACCCAAGCTGTATGCAGCAGCTTTTGCATATGAATGACCTGTCCTTTCTCAGCCTAAAACCTGTCAAACTGCAGCTGGTTCAGGGAGCCCAACACTATCTAAAGAAGGCAAAGGCCAGCACTGCAGCAGCCTGCCTTGCTTCACAGTTGGTCCTCAACTGGGCATTTCCAAACCCCATACAAAGAGGAGGAATCTGTAGATCTCTCTGTAGCTCCTGCTGGGTGACCCCAGGCAGTGGCTGACTTTGCACCTCCTTGGAGATCCAGGAGCCAGTGTACCCAGTGGTCAGTGTGAGACCATACCAGATTACAACTCTTCACATCTATAAGTGAAACACTAAAGGGGCAGACTCAGTGAGCACCAAAGCCCCACTGAAGCAAGTCCTGCCCCATAAGGGTGTCTCCTGCACAGCAGCCCTTCCACTGTAGACACAGCTGGTCCTCACAGCCAATTGATCTGGAGGTAAACAAACACAGGGAAGCAGCCAAAATGCAGAGACAAAGAAATGTCACAAATGAAAGCAATGGAAGAAAGCAAACTACTGGATATAGAGTTCAAAACCAGTTATAAGGTTACTCAAGAATCTTCTAGAAACCTCCGAGAAACTTAGTGAGAACTTTGAGGAACCTAGTGAGACCTTCAAGGATCTTAGTGAGAATGCCAAAAAAATGGAAAAGGACCAGTCAGAAATTAAGCATACACTGACTGAAATAAAGAATAATACACAGAGATTCAACAGTAGAGTAGATGATCCCAAGAATCAAGTCAAAGATTTGAAATACAAGGAAGCAGAAAACACCTAACTGGAAGAGCAAAAAGAAAAAAGAATCCAAAAATATGAAGATAGTGTAAGGAGCCTCTGGGACAACTTCAAACATACCAACATCCGAATTATGGGGGTGCCAGCGAAGAGAGAGAGCAAGATATTGAAAACCTATTTGAAGAAATAATGACAGAAAACTTCCCCTACCTGGTGAAAGAAATAGACTTACCAGCCCAGGAAGCACAGAGAACCCGAAACAAAAGGAATCCAAAGAGGACCACACCAAGACACATCGTAATTAAAATTCCAAGGCAAAAGACAAAGAGAGAATCTTAAAAGCAGCAAGAGAAAAACAGTCACCTACAAGTAAGTACCCATAAGCTTGTCAGCTGATTTCTCAACAGAAATTATGCAGGCCAGAAGGGAGTGGCAAGAAATATTCAAAGTGATGAATACCAAGAACCTACAACCAAGATTACTCTACCCAGCAAAGCTATCATTCAGAATTGAAGGTCAGATAAAGAGCTTCACAGATAAGAAAAAGTTAAAGGAATTCATACCACCAAACCAGTATTATATGAAATGCTGAAGGGTATTCTTTAAGAAGAGGAAGAAGAAGAAAAAGGTAAAGATAAAAAATTATGAACAACAAAGTGACAACACATACATATCTATCAACAAATGAATCTAAAAATCAAATGAATAAAAAATCTGATGAACAGAGTAAACTGGTGAATGTAATAGAATCAGGGGCATGGAAATGGAGTGGACTGAAAATTCTTGGGGGGCAAAAGATATGGGGGGTCCGGGAAGATATGGGACAAAGATCTTATATGCATGTATGCAGTTTCTATGGACACAGACAGTGGGGTGGCGAGGGCTTGGGGTGGGGTGGGAACCAGGTGGAGGGGAGCTATGGGGGTAAAAAAAAGGGACATCTGTAATAATCTGAACAATAAAGATTAAAAAAAATAAAAAGTCACTAATCATCAGAGAGATGCAAATCAAAACAACAATGAGATATCACCTCACACCTGTCAGAATGGCTATCATCAATAAATCAACCAACAACACGTGTTGGCTAGGTTGTGGAGAAAAGGGAACCTTAATACACTGCTGGTGGGAACGCAGGCTGGTGCAGCCAATGTGGAAAACAATATGGAGATTCCTCAAAAAGTTAAAAATGGAATCCCATTTGACCCAGTCATCCCACTTCTAGGAATGTATCCTAAGAAATCAGAAATGTCTATCAAAAAGAATATATGCACCCCTATGCTCATAGCAGTGCAATTTACAATAGCTAAGACTTAGAAACAGCCTAAGTGCCCATTAGCAGATGAGTGGATAAAAAAACTATGTTACATTTATACAATGGAATGCACGGCAATAAAAAAGAAAGAACTCTTACCATTTGCCACAGTATGTATGAACCTGGAGAATTTTATGCTGAGTGAAATAAGCTAGTCAGAGAAAAGTATCACATGATTTCACTCATATGTGGAATCTAATTAACTAAATAAACTGATGATCAAAAATAGACCCAGAGACATAGAAGCATGAAGATTGTTGAACCTCAGAGGGAAGGGAGGGGAAGGAAGGTGAAAAGAGATCAAACAATGAACTTGTATTCGTATATGCATAATGCATGGACACAGACAATGGGGTGGTGAGGCCTGGGATGGGGGCGGACAGGAGTGCCCTGATAGAGTTTAATGGGGGATAAAGGAGTACCTATGTAATACTTTCAATAATAAAGATTTCTCAAAAATGTAAGGAACATGACTCCTGGGACCTATCACTTTTGTTCACAATTGTTCCACTGGTGCCTATAGTACAATGCCTGGTTCAGACTGGGCACTCAAGTACTTGCTGAATAAATCAATGACTATTTTTAGGCATTGAAAGACATAAATCAAATAATCAAGTAGAAGCTGTAAAGAAATTTGATTTCATATAGATAGATATTGGTATGGACTGAATTGTGTTCTCTACCCATATTCATACATTGAAACCCTAACCCCAATTGTGACTATAGTTCAAGATAGTGCTTTTATAATGCAGTTAAGGTTAAAAAAAGTCATAAAAATAAAGTCCTAATCAGATAGGATTGGTGGCTTTATAAGAGGAAGAGATTAATTTTTTAATGTTAAACCATGCTTGTGTTCCTAGAAAAAACCCTACTTGGTCATCATTTTTGTATCTGCTGAATTTGATTTGCTTTTTTTGTGTATAATATCTTTGTCAGGTCATAGTATAAGAGTTTAATGGTCTCGCCCTGGCTGGTTTGGCTCAGTGGATAGAGCGTCGGCCTGTGGACTGAAGGGTCCCGGGTTAGATTCCCGTCAAGGGCATGTACCTTGGTTGCGGGCACATCCCCAGTAGGGGATGTGCAAGAGGCAGCTGATCGATATTTCTCTCATCGATGTTTCTAACTCTCTATCCCTCTCCCTTCCTCTCTGTAAAAAATTAATAAAATATATATATTTTTAACAAAAGAGTTATATGGTCTCATAAAATGAGTTGGAAGTTGTTCTTTCCTTTTCTACAGAGATGTGTGTAATTCTGCTTTAATTTCTTAAATATTTCATAGAATTAACCAGTGAAATCATCTGGGCCTGACATTTTCTTTTTGGAAATATTTCTGATAATTCAATTACTTTAATAGATATAAGATTATTCATATTTTCTCTTATCTTCTGTCAATTCTGGTAAGTTATATTTTTCAAGGAATTTTTCAAATACATTTAAATTGTCAAATTGTCTAGCATAAAGTTATTCATGACATTCTCTTATTATTCTTTTAATGGCCATAAAATGTGAACTGAAAACCCACTTCCATTCCTGACAGTAATTTATGTTGTCTTTTCCTCAGTAGTCAAGTTTACTGTTTACCAACTTTGTTGATCTTTCCAAGCAATTAACTTTTGTCTCTATTCATTTTCTCTAGATTTTTCCTACTTTGTTAATTTCAGCTTTTATATTTATCCTTTTGTTTTTTCCTACTGAGAACAGCTCCTCTCTTTGAAATGGTAGAGAAATATGAGAGGTGTAACAAGGTCAATAGAAAGTTCCTTGGTTAGTCTAAGCTTAAAAGATTTTAATTTGCTTCCTGGGTCTCTGGCCTTTCCTCCACACTCCACAAGCCTTGGGCTTTTGAAGAGATATCCTCAACAAAACCTAAGGTTTGTGCCTTTACCCTACCCAGCTTGGCTATTACCTGCAGTAATGACTTTCCCATGCCTGCTAAGCCCACTCACCAAGGTAGTGTCTTCTTATCCTTTCCCTCATAAGCATCCAGGGCTCCTTCCCGTCATCCAATAATGTAATCACATCTGGTGTAGAAATGGAATGTCCTGCTTAATAGAAAAATGTGACATGAACTAATAAGCCAAAAAGTCCTTAGATTTAGATTTGGTTAAATTTATAATGAACTCTAGACCAAAATGTTATTTTATAAAGTCTAAGAGCAAAGAAATGCAGGGGTTGAAGAACACCCATATTATGGTAACCTCAGGATCACAAGGAATAGACACCAGATAGTTAAGAATTGACCTTAGCATAATTTACACACAAGCTCTGTTGAGAGGCAGTCTTGTGCAGTGGTTAGGAAAATAAAATCTGGATCCAGACTGTCTGTGTTCAAATGCTGCCTTTGTTGCTGTGTTACCTCTTGTGCCAAAGTTTTCTCATCTGAAATGAGGATAAAAGTAATATATTTCTCATAGAGTTTTTGTGAGGATTAACTAATAATGTGTAATATTTAGACTAGTTATATATGGCCTGAACAGTGTGGCTCAGTGGTTGAGCATTGATCAGGAGGTCACGGTTTGATTCCCAGTAGGGCGCATGTCTGGATTGCGGGCTTCATCCCAGTTGGGGGTGTGCAGGAGGCAGCCAATCAATGATTCTCTCTCATCATTGATGTTTCAATCTCTCTCTTCCTCTCCCTTCCTCTAGGAAATCAATAAAAAAGGATAGTTATATATGTACATATACACATAATATGTGTATACTAGTATTAACTTTATTATTATAATTTTGCTTCCTGTGACATTCTCATATCCTTTCTAGAATATTCATTCAATTTTACAAGAAAAAGTCCTTAGAATTTTAAATTTCAACTACAAAGTAGGTAGAATTAAATGTCTGTTATAGGAAACAGAATACATTTAAACATTTAACTGAGTTTTAACTTGGTTTTTGTTGTTGTTATTTCTCACCTGAGGATATTTTTCCATTCATTTTTTTGAGAGAGTAGAAGGAAGGGGGAGAGACAGAGAAACATTGATGTGAGAGGGGCACATCAATTGGTTGCCTTCCGCACTTGCCTGGACAAGGGCTGGGGATTGAGCCTGCAACTGAGGTACATGCCCTTGCCAGGATCAAACCTGGACCCTTCCATCTGAGGCCGATTCTCTATCCACTGAGTCAAACTGGCTAGGGCCATTTAACTGAGTTTTAAATAAACTTTGTGGATCCATCCCTTTTTATACAAGTTCTATAGGCTCTGATTTTTAGAGAGACTCAGAACCCCTGTATCTAGGTATTCTCCTTGCAGGTGGATTAGAAATGAATATTAAGCATCTACATTAATTATGAGCTCAAATACAATGTGAAATCTGGTTTCTTGGACAATGCTTCTGTTGTAAGCAACCCAGAATTCAAATACTGCCCCTTGGATATTAAGGTAAGTACAGAGCCTGAAGAAAATCTGAAGGACCTAACAGGATGGGAGTGACAAAGTGTGAAATGGAGGGGCCTACTTCCAAACTAACAACACTTGACCAATTCCTTTGGAATAGAGAGATAAAATTTATCTAGTTTCTCAAAACAGAGTCATGAAATTGACAGTAGAGAAAGCCAATATAATTTGGAATAAGTAGCCATTACCCAGTGAAATGAAGTTTCTATAATTTTCCCACATCACATCCCTATATAAGTCCCTCTGAGCTGAGTCCAGGAATTCCCATTCTTCCGGTGAGAAGTCTATGGCCACATCCCTGAATGTCACTGAACCCTGAAAAACAAACAAGTAAATGAAATATTTTTAAAATGGAGAAAAGATCAAAGATTGCACTTCAGAGAATGAGCCACATAGCAGCAAATAGAGTGGAGATGAAAACATATGGCATGCTTAAGGGATAGTAAGAAAATTAGTATCCCTGAAGCAAGTGCTGCATCTCTTGAATAGTCCTGTGGCTACAGATAAGATTAAATTTTACCCACACATATCTTGAAATGAATAAAATAACCCCAAAAATCCCAATAAAATGAAATAGTGCACACAGCCTTCTGTTAGCTGTATCTCCACTACAGATTCTTAAGAAATATAAGGTTTTCTACCTTCTTTTTCTTTGAATGATCATAAAAACATATTGATAACGATTTCTCTTGAATATACTATAAAATCTCTAAGAAAACAGACTCAAGTTCACCATAAAGTCAGGTCCTATATAATAAAAGGCTAATATGCAAATAGACCAAACAGCATGGCAGAACAACTGAACAACCGGTTGCTATAATGTGCACTGACCACCAGGGGGCATGAGCAGAACATAGTGGGTGTTGGCAGAAGGCGGTAGAGCACAGAACATGGTGGTGTCAGCCACAGCGGAGCAGGTGAGTGGGGGCACCAGTCGCTGTAATCAGGACGAACCTCTGGTAGTTACTGAAAATTCTTTGCTTCCATGCACCGCGGTCCCACCCAGCATTCACACCCACTGCCGGTGCACAGCACCAGCCCCAATCGCTCAGTGCCATCAGCAGGTGCAAGCAGTGGCTGCCGATTCCAATCACCCCTCAGGGCTTCTCCACCTCCCCCTGCTCCTGAGAGGCAATTGGGGCCGGCAGCCACCTCTTGCACCCACTCCCAGCAATGGCCCCGCTTGCACCTGCAGCTGGTGCTGGAGCTGCTGCTCGCACCTGCTGCTGGCACCCAGCACCAGCCCCAATTGCTCAGCCCTGATCATCCCTGAGGGCTTCTTCAGCTCCCCCTGTTCCTAAGGGGCAATCGGAGCAGCAGCTGCCACTCACACCCACTGACAGCACCAGCCCCAATGGCTTTACGCCGTCAGTGGATGTAAGTGGGGCTGGCACAATCAGCGCATGGGAGTGGCAGAGGTGGGAGCGGGGCTGCCGGCAGACAGGAGACCGGGGGCCATGGCGGCAGGGACTGGGTAGGGGCACGGAGGATGGGCCGAAATGGCAGCCTCGTGGCCCACAGTTCCTTTCCAGGTGCACAAATTCGTGCACTGGGCCCCCATTTTTATTATAAACATTTCCCCTGTTATTACCAATTTTTTTTAATAAAATTTTCAAACTTTGCTACATGGTAGTCTACATTTTAAATATGTGATATTCAATCTTTTCTCTATTTAGATGTTTTAATTCAAAAGTCTTCCTCAAATCTCACAGTCTGTATTACCTAATACTTATTTATGCATCTGGATGACCTTCTTACTTTTTTTACATTTTATTTTTTTATTTTCTTTCTTAAAGTATTACAAAGAGTATTACACATGTCTCCTTCCCACCCGCCCCCCCTGACATTCCCCTGGCTTCCCCCGCCCCCCAGTGTCTTGTGCCCATTAGTTATTCTCATATGCATGCATATAAGTCCTTCGGTTGATCTCCTACCCCCCCAACCCTCCCCAGGGTTCCCACTGTAGTTTGACATTCTGCTCAATGCTGCTCTGCCTCTGTATCCATTTTTGTTCATCAGTCTATAATGGTCCTTATTATCCATAAATGAGTGAGTTCGTGTGGTATTTTTCTCAGCTTCCCAGGGGCCGTCTCAGTCTCACAGGGGCCATCCCAGCCTCACAAGGTCCGTCTCAGCCTCACAAGGGCTGTCTCAGCCTCACAGGAGCCGCCTCAACCTCACAGGGGCTGTTTCAACTTCACCAGAGCCGTTTCAACCTAACCAGGGCCATTGCAAGCTCACCGGGGCCGTCTCAACCTCACCGGGGCTGTTTCAGCCTCACCAGGGCTGTTTCAGCCTCACTGGGTCCGATTCAGCCTCACTGGGGCCGTCTTAACCTCACTGGGGCCTTCTCGACCTCACCAGTGCCATCTCGACCTCACTGGGGCTGATTTGACCTCACCGGGGCCGTCTCAACCTCACCGGGGCCATCTCAACCTCACCGGGGCCGTCCCAGCCTCACCAGGACTGTTCCAGCCTCACTGGGGCCGATTCAACCTCACCGGGGCCGTCTCGACCTCACCAGGGTCGTCTCAACCTCACCAGTGCTGTCTCGACCTCACTGGGGCTGTCTCAACCTCACCAGGGCTGTCCTTCTTACTTTTTATTATCCATTATCCATCACTGGCCACCTTTCCTCATTCCTAAGTCAGAGGATACTGAATTGGGAAGATATCATTCTGAACCAGTGGTTTTCAATTAGGAGTGATTTTACTCTTCAGAAGACAACTGGCCATATCTAGAGACAATTTTGATTGTCACAAGTTGAGGAAGGAGGTGTGTTACAGGCATCTAATTGGTAGAAGTCAGGGAAACCTTTAGACATCCTAAATGCAGAGAACAATCCCCCACAATAAAAGATTTTCTGGCTCAAAATATGAATAGTTCCAAGGTTGAGAAACCCTGCTCTAGACAAGCACATCCCATAAAACTACACAATGGACTTGTTGCTGGTATTCTTCTCTCAGGATTTCCTAGATGACTGTTAATATTTCTATATGCAGTCCTGTTCTGATAACCTCCTATTCATTCATTAGATGGAGGATTCCCAGGCCCTACATAGCATGAGAGGCTTAATACCTAACACCAATAGTGTATTAGTCATATACACTCACAGCCCAGCCAAGGAGGACACCAAACGTCATGCAGGGCCACACAGGGGTTGCACTCAGGAATAGAGTGAATAAGCAGGGTCTGTGGGAGGCAGGCTTTGTAGTAAAAAGAAGGTGAGGTGTTTCCTGGTTCCCACAGGAGGATGTGAGGGGGCTTGTGTAATTCTGCAGGCTGGCAGGGAAGTAAAACCAATACATTAAGAATCAGGAGGGCTGCTTCTCTGGCTGATAGGGGAACTAACCACATAGGGAGTCTTTCCTGCTGAATGATAAGCATATCTGGTGAGAGCAGGAGAACTCATGGTTAAGCCTAAAATTTTATGTACTGTTTTTAGGACTTGTAACATAAGGCCCTAATCACATCCCTACCTAATCCACACAATTGTAAAAGCCTTACATATCACAAAACCTCAACACATACAGAGACAGAGTCCAGCCAATAATAATCTCATGTGGAGAAGTTTGGAATTTTCCCTATAGCAATCAAATAGGATAAGATTCTCTCATCAAACCATAGATCTTCAAGGAAAGTTCAAAACTGGGGTCTCATATGTTCATAGCAGCACAATTCATCATAGCTAAGATCTGGAAACAGCCTAAGTGCCCATCAGTAGATGAATGGATTAGAAAACTGTGGTACATCTACATGATGGAATACTATGCTGCTGTAAAAAAGAAGGAACTCTTACCATTTGCAATGGCATGGATGGAACTGGAGAGCATTATGCTAAGTGAAATAAGCCAGTCAATGAAGGAAAAATACCACACGATCTCACTCATTCATGGATAATAGAGACCATTATAAACTTTTGAACAATAATAGATACAGAGGCAGAGCTGCCTCAAACAGATTGTCGAACTGTAGCGGGAAGGCCAGGGAGGGTTGGGAGGCAGGAGGGTGGGGGGTAAGAGATCAACCGAAGGACTTATATGCATGCATATAAGCATAACCAATGGACATAAGACACTGGGGGGTAGGGGAGGCCAGGGGATTGTCAAGGGTGGGGGGGAAAAAAGGACACATATGTAATACCCTTTGTAATCCTTTAAGCAATAAATAAATAAATAAAAACTGGGGTCTCCCACTTATCAATAATCCATTCCCTCGTCAGGTATTCTATCATTACATTTTTGACTAATTACCTATTTTCCCATCCTTTTAAATCAAAGATTTATATTGCATTATACATCAATTTCAACCCCTTAACTAGTTTCATATTTCTCCCCAGTATAGAATTATAGTACACAGGGGTTAGTACACATGTACTTTGGCTTTAGTATTTTCATTGTGTGTTTGTTTTGTTTTGTTTTGTTTTTTACTGAACTCTTATTTCTCACTTGAACTGTTTCTTTCTCCACAGTTTCTTCCAACTTTTTCCAACTTTTTAGGAACTCATTTTATACTAGGCACAAACAAGGGCTACATGTGAAGTACACTATGAAAATGCATTTCCAACAAAAACATAATGGCAGGAATGGCTCACTTTCAGTATGATGGTCTAATGCCTCCTTTATAAATCAGCAGCACCAGATATACACATCCCCTTAAAGAATATTTGCATGTATTTCAGAACATCTGCAGATGGTTCTGATGGTCTATCAATTGCATTTGGAATAAAATAAGACTCTTGCTGCACATTGTTTTTTGTTTTAAAATGTTGCATTGGACTATACAATTTTACTTACCAAGTTCTAAAAATAGGCAAAATTAACTTATGGTATATGACATCAGGATAGAGGTTACATTTGGACTGGGTGGGTAGGGTGTGGCTAAGAGGGGGACATCTGAAGTGCTAGTTATATTCTCTTTCTTGACCTGAGGACTGGTGGCATACATGCATTCAATTTATAAAAATTCATTTAGCTGTACACTTAGAACTTGTGCACTTTTCTCTATGTACACTATATGTCATTTTAAAAGTTCAAAAAGAACCCTACCTGGTTTGGCTCAGTGGACAGAGCGTCGGCCTGTGGACCAAAGGTGCCTGGGTTCAATTCCAGTCAAGAGCTTGTACCTCAGTTGCAAGACCCTCCCCACCTGGGCCCTGGTCGGGGTGTGTGCAGGAGGCAACCAATAGATGTTACTCTCACATCTATGTATCTCTCTGTCTTTCCTTCTCTCTTTCACCCTTTCTAAAAAAAAAAAAAATCAATGGAAAATATCCCCAAGTGAGGATTAAAAAATAATAAATAGTTCAAAAAACTTTTTAAAAATGTTAAATTGTGTGTTGGGGATATAAATTTTTCCTTCATAAAACTCACTGTACTCAGAGAAATATAGTATCTCTGAAGTTTAGTATTAAAATCAAAAGCTTGTTCTGTTGGAAAAAGTGAATAGGCAGAATATTCTGCAGAGAATACCTGCATTTTTATCAAGATTTTATTCCCTCATAGCTCTTGACAGATTTTGTAAACAGGAGATAGTCCACGTTAGTGGGGGGTGGGGAGAGGGTAGAGAAAGAGTACGTGAAGAGGATCCTGGACTATTTGTCCCCAATTCTCATGGGAATGAGAAAAACTACAGCAGGTTCATGGATGGGGTTCTGTTAAACAGGAAATTTCAGGATAAGAAATGAGTATGTACACTGCTGGTGGGAATGCAGACTGGTGCAGTCACTATGGAAGACAGTATGGAGTTTCCTCAAAAAGATAAAAATGCGCCCTGACTGGTTTGGCTCAGTGGATAGAGCGTTGGCCTGTGGACTGAAGGTTCCTGGGTTCAATTCCGGTCAAGGGCATGTACCTTGGTTGCGGGGACATCCCCAGTAGGAGGTGTGCAGGAGGCAGCTGATCGATGTTTCTCTCTCATTGATGTTTCTAACTCTCTCCCTTCCTCTCTGTAAAAAAATCAATAAAATATATTTTTTTAAAAAGTTAAAAATGGAACTCCCATTTGACCCAGTGATACCACTTCTAGGAATATATCCCAAGAAACCAGAAACACCAATCAGAAAGGATATATGCATCCCTATATTCATAGCAGCACAATTTACCATAGCTAAGATTTAGAAACAGCCTAAGTGCCCATCAGCAGATGAATGGATTAGAAAACTGGTACATCTACACAATGGAATACTATGCTGCTGTAAAAAAAGAAGAAATTCTTACCATTTGCAACAGCATGGATGGAACTGGAGAGCATTATGCTAAGTGAAATAAGCCAGTCAATGAAAGAAAAATACCACATGATCTCACTCATTTATGGATAATTAAGACCATTATAAACTGATGAACAAAAATAGATACAGAGGCAGAGCAACATCGAACAGACTGTCAAACTACAGGGTTGGGGGGGGGGGGTAAGAGATCAACCAAAGGACTTGTATGCATGCATATAAGCATAACCAATGGACACAAGACACTGGGGGGTAGGGGAGGCTGGGGGAATGTCAAGGGGGGAAAAAAGGACACATATGTAATACTCTTTGTAATACTTTAAGCAATAAAACAAATTTTTTTTAAAAAAAGGAATGAGTATGTATGCATAACCTAGAAATTGACAATATGTAAAAAAAGGGAGAGAGAGAAAGAAACATCAACTTACAAAGGCCATGGTTTTGAACTGATTAGTGCTTCTCAAGATTTCTGCTGGAAAACTGCAAAATCCATATAAACCAAATCTGGAAGAAAAAGAAGCCAGGAAACCAGATGTGCCTCGGAGCTCCCAAAATTACTTATGTTAATATGAGCTTTTTTTTTTTCTTCCACTCCTGCTTCCTACCTATTTTGCACCACTACACCCATACTGATCCCATACCCACACAAACTGGAGGAGAGTTAAGGGAGTCTGAAGAAATCCAAGCCCTGAAGAAACCCAATGAACAACACTGGACTTGGTGTAGAAGGCCAGATATTTCTGCAGAAATTCTGACTAGTTCGCCATCTGACAATGTGGTCCTGACATTACATTATTCAAACATGTTCTGAGCAATTCCTCCTGCTTCTAGTACAACTTTTCAGAGGCAAGAAAGGGCCACACCAACCAAGGAGAACCTCTTTTGAGCCCCCGGGATTCTGCCTGAACTTCATAAATACAAAGAATAACAACCACACAGACTGAGCCTGGCAGCTCCTGCCACTGTAAAGCTGCACTGGCCTTTCCCCAGCCAGGGAACTCACTATTCTGTTTCCCAGTTAGGACCTCTCATAGCATGACATCCTTTGTCACTCCCTCTCTTCCAATATCTAAACTAGGAAGGGGATTCATGACAGCTGCAGTTGGTAAAAAACAAACAGGCATTGAGAACTTTGATGTGATGGATGCTTTATACACACCACTTGTTGATCCTCAGTACTGATCTGCAATGTAGTTCTTCTCTCCTTTCAATATAAAACCGATGCTCAGGGGTCAAATCATTTGCCCAATTTCAATTATTAGATGCGAGAGCATTGTTTTGTTTTGAATCCACATTTCTCTAACTAAAAAGCCATCTTTTTCACTTTGATTTTTGCCTCTGAAGGCTAAGATTTCCACTTTACTGAGAGAAACCGAAGCAAGAACAATTAACTATAAAATAGAAATAACCTTTCAAAATATACTAAACTTCACTACTAATTATGATGATATGTATTAAAGCACCCCTCCCCCCCCCAAAAAAATACCTTTTTAGAGTAACTGAATTGGGAGATCTAAAAGTCTGATGATGCCCCATAATAGCAAGGTCACAGTATCCTGGATTGTTTGACTCAGTGGTTAGGGGGTTGGCCAGTGGACCAAAGGGTCATGGGTTCAATTCTTAATCAAGGGCATGTACCTTGGTTGCAGGTTCCCCAGCCCTGGTGGGGGTGCATGCAGGAGGTAAACTATCAATGTGTCTTTTTCACGTCAATGTTTCTCTCTCACTCTCTCCCTCTCTTCTTCCCTCCCTCCCTGTCTCCTCCCTACCATCTCTCTCTTCTCTCTCCCTTCCACTCTCTCTATAAATCAATAGAAAAAATATCCTTGGGTGAGGATTTTAGAAAAAATAGCAAGGCCATGGAAAAATGGACACTAGGTTGATCCAAATTTAGAATTACATGAAGCATCATTTAAAAACTATAATTCTAAATACCCTGTGAACCACAAACTCCACTGCTGGGAGTAAAGGAACGATTTGTATATGTACACATAAAAATGGTGGTGGAGTAAGTGGAAACTACACTGACACTCTCCCAGAACCAAAGTGGAAATATAACTGAAATACAGAAAAAACAACCCTGGAAAACTGAAGTCAAAGGCATGTACCTTGGTTGTGGGCACATCCTTAGTAGGGGGTGTGCAGGAGGCTACTGATCGATGTTTCTCTCTCATTGATGTTTCTAACTCTCTATCCCTCTCCCTTCCTCTCTGTAAAAAAAAAAAAATCAAGATATATATATAAAAAAAGAAAACTTCTAGAGGACATTAAGCAAGAGATCAACAACAATACAGTCATAGTAAGGGACTTTAACACCCTGCTGACTTCACTGAATGCATCTTTCAGACACACTGGATCAGATGGATTTAATTGACATTTATAAAACATTTCATCCCAAAGCTGCAGAATATACACTCTTCTCAAGTGCAAATGGATCCTTTACAAAGATAAACCACATGTTAGGACTCAAAACAAGTCTGTACAAGTTCAAGAATATTGAAATTATATCAAGCATCTTCTCAGACCACAGTGGAATGAAATTAGAAATCAACTACAGTAAAACATTCAAAAACATTCAAACACATGGAGGCTAAATAGCATGTTATTAAACAATAAATGGATTACCAATGAGATAGAAAAGGAAATAAAAAATCTTCCTGGAAAAAAATGAACACACAACAACCCAAAATCTCTGGGACACAGCAAAAGCAGTCTTCAGAGTGAAGTTCAGAGCACTACAGGCCTACCTCAAAAAACAAGAAAAAATAAAAATAAACTATTTAAACCTATAACTCAAAGAATTAGAAAGAAAACAAACAGAAAACCCCAGTAAAAGGAGAAGGAAATAATAAAGATTAGAGCAGAAATAAATGACATAGAGACTAAAACAAAGAATACAAAACATCAATGAAACCTTGAAAAATAAACAAGATTGATGAACCGTTAGCCAGAATCATCAAGAAACAAAGAGAGAGGACCCAAAGAAATAAAATCAGAAACGAAAGTGGAGAAATAACAACTGACACCACAGAAATACAAAGGATTGTAAGAAAATACTATGAACAAATATATGCCAACAATCTGGACAATGTGGATGAAATGGACGAACTCCTTGAAAAATACAATCTCCCAAAACTGAATCAGGAAGAATCGGAAAATCTAAATAGGTCAATACCAATTGATGAAATATAAGCAGTAATTAAAAAACGCCCAGCACACAAAAGCATGGGTCCAGACAGTTTCACAAGGGAGTTTTACAAAACATTCAAAGAAGAACTAACATCTATACTCCTCAAACTATTCAAAAAACAAAACAAAAACAAAAACAAAAACAAGAAGGAACACTTCCAAGCTCTTATTCTGAGGCCAGCATTATCCTAATTCCAAAACCAGATAAAGACACTACAAAGAAAATGAATTACAGGTCAATATTTCTGATGAGCATAGATGCTAAAATCCTCAACAAAATATTCGCAAATCGGATCCACCAATATATTAAAAAGATCATACACCATGACCAATGGGATTTATTCCAGGGATGAAAGGCTGGCACAATATTCGCAAATCAATAAGCGTGATACATCAAATACACAAATTGAAAGACAAAAATCACATGATCATATCAATAGATGCAAAAAAAAGCATTCAACAAAATCTAGCACCCATTTTTGATTAAAAAAAAAACACAAACTCTCAGCAAAGTGGGAATAGAGGATGCATATCTCAACATGATAAAGGCCATATATGACAAACCTACAGCAAACATCATACTCAATAGGCAAAAACTAAAACCATTTCCCCCAAAGAACAGGAATAAGACAGGGATGTCCACTTTCACCACTCTTATTCAAATAGTACTGAAAGTCCTAGCCACAGCAATCAGACAAGAAGAAGAAATAAAAGACATCCAAATTAGAAAGGAGGAAGTAAAGCTCTCATTATTCGCAGATGACATGATATTGTACATAGAAAATCCTTGAAGACTCCATTTAAAAAATACTAGATTTAATAAATGAATTTGGCAATGTAGCAGGATATAAAATCAACACACAAATCTATGACTTTTTTGCATATAAGCATAACCAATGGACATAAGACACTGGGGGATAGGGGAGGCTAGGGGACTGTCAAGGGCGGGGGGAAAAAAGGACACATATGTAATACTCTTTGTAATACTTTAAGCAATAAAAAAAAATCTATGACTTTTTTTATACATCAATAATGAATCTCAGAATGAAAAACTAAAAAAACAACCCCAATTACCATTGCAACAAAAAAAATTAAGATACTTAGGAATAAATTTAACCAAGGAGGTAAAAGTCTTGTCCTTGTTGAAAAAAGAGGTAGAGGAAGATATAAAAAAGTGGAGGAATATACTGTGTTCATGGATTAGTAGAATTAACATCATTAAAATGTCCATACTACTCAAGGCAATCTACAGATTCAATGCAATCAATAAGATGGTGAAAGCCTTGGGTGGGGGTTGGGGGCGGGCTAGAAGGGGTCAGTGGGGAGGGGGGGAAAGGTGACATATGTAATATTTCAACCATAAAGATATTTTTAAAAAAAGATATTTGCGGAGTTATGCTGACAGATAAGACTTATAATGAATACAAGCTGAAAATAATCTAATTGGAAAAATGGTTAAACATTTGAAAACCATGCAAATATTAAAAAGTGATAATGTTGCCAGTTTTTATGTAATGGGTTAAGCTACTGTGTTAAAACAAATAAACAAACAAAACGTGTGCGGTATTAAACTATATTGACAGGAAAAAAAATTACATGTATGCCTAGAAGGACCAGTTAAAATGTTTACAGTGACAGTCAGTGATACTTATCATCATATTAAATACTATGTGAACTAAAGTATAAAAATACTCCAAAGAAGTTCAACATTTTCTTCACATCTTCTGTTAAACTAAGAGCTTATTAGAACACTTAAAAAAAAAAAAAAAAAGAAGAAAAAACCCCTGCTATTTTTCCTGAGTGACTTTTAAATTTTAGCTTCTAATTCGTGAACCAACTCTATGATTTAATTTGCTCATGTGTGTTGAAGCACTATCCAGAAAAGAATGGCGCAAAGTCCCTAACTGATGTCTTCTAAGCACTGACTGAAGTCTCATGCTGCCTCCTTCACATCTTGCTGACAAATGAGTTTATTTTGCTTCTGAACCAACCCTTTGAAGCCCTATAACAGATGCTGGACCTTCTTGTTCTTCGAGTCTCATTTTGCTTAGAATATTACTAAAATGAAAATTGTTAGGCATAAATTTTACTGTAGGAAATACATTTCCCTCCACAGAGCCTTAGGAAAACCTGGACATTGCTTGCTGACATCATATTAATATCTCTTCCCTCCTTTATGATGGATTATTAAGGCAGGAAGAATTTTTAAGTATAATGATGAGGCTTGGTATACTTTTGTAATTACTAATATAGGCTTTGCTGTCAGTTTTCTAGAATATAAATTTCAGCTCTGATAGTTATTACCCATATGATCTTGGACATGTTACTTAATTTTTCAGCCCTAGTTTCTTCCTATGTAAAATGCTGATAATTATAGTTCTCAATCAAAGGGTTATTATGAGGATTAAAGAAGATATTACATATAAAGCACTTAAAATAGCAAATAGAAATTTAATGAAAGGCAACTATAGATGAAAAATCCTATATGCTCTTCTTCCCATAATTATTAAAGAAAATTCTCCTTGAAAGATAAATATCACATGACCTCACTCATTTGTGGAATATAATGAACAACATAAACTGATTAACAAAAACAGATCCAAAGACAGAGAAGCATCGATCAGATGCTTAAACCTCAGAGGGAAGGTAGGGGAAGGTGAGGGTAAGAGGGAGAGATCAAACAAAGGACTTGTAGGCATGCATATAAGCATAAACAATGGTCACAGACACCAGGGGGTGAGGGCATGAGTGGGGGGGAGAGGGGCAATGGAGGGATAATGACACATATGTAATACTTTAATCAATAAAGAAAGGGAAAAAAAAGAAAATTCCCCTTTTTTCCATAAAAATGAATTTCTCAGTCCTGCTCTTTCTTATAATACTATTAAGTTTCAGAGTTTCGTGTTGACCAAGCAATTCCTCCTGATTATCAACAATTTACAAAAGGGGGGCTATGTGAATGGATGAAGTAAAAGTGGCAAAATCCTCACAATTTTTGGATTTGGGTAATAGGAAAAAACATGGAATTACAACATAATAGTAACAACTAAATCTACTAAGCACTTATGTGTCCAAAGCCTTATCTAAGAACTTTACATATATTTTTTCATCTATTGATAGCAATCCTATATAGTAGGTTTTATCATTATCCTCCCTTACAAACGAAGGAACTGTGGCAAAAAGAGATAAAATAAATTGGCCCAAGTTCACCCAATTCTAATGACAGGTTTAGGATTAGAACCCTGGTAATTTAGTTCCAAAGCCACTATACTAAACTGTCTCTCTTAAAACCACATAAATATTTTGCCTGAAACAAACGCATGCTGTCCAAAACTTCAAACCTCTTCTCAAATTTCTACTAATGTTTTTGCTTCTCTTCTACTAATAATCCCTTCTTTTGTTAACACAGATCTTCATTTAAAAATCTTACCAAATTACCACTACGTATCTTTCTCTGCTTTGACCTCAGGGCAGTGGCGAAGATCAAAGGCACCTAGTATGAGTCCAACTAAACTAGTCTCAACAAATCACAGTCTAAAATAAAGCTCTGTTGTTAGCCTTCCTTGCAAACCATGCAAGAGTTTAAGAAGCAGCTCACAGGAGAAATTAAATGATTGCTAAATGTTCATGTAATAGTTAGGAGGGGCAGGATGCCTACCTACATCATCTCCATTATTCACTGAGAAGGAAGAGCAAAGATCCAGATCAATAGGTAGTTCAGGTATTAAAGCCTTACTAGCTAAAAACTACATGGAAGATGCCTATTCCACAGGAACGGTTGGAATGTAGTGGGTGAGAGAGTGAGAGAGAAAGAGAGAGAGAAGCTCTTGTAAATGGTTGAGTACCAACTGAAGGATTCAGAGGAAAGGGAAAACAATTCTGGAATGTTTACTGTTTCTGAGGTGAGAATAGGAGGCAGGGATTAATTAAAGGTTGAACACTACTATATAGTGAGAGTACTTTAGCAATTGGGTATCCCCAGTAATAAAATAAAAATAGCAAAGTGGATCTGGAGCACTTTCTTGGTAAGAAAGCTGTAATCTCTCAAAGACAAAATTGTTATGCCATTTTACAATTGCTGCATGACCTGAGTATGTGGTAGGCAGTTGGACACAGGAACAGAGAAAAACAATGGGCCAGGTACAGAAGGTTACCAAGGCAGAAGGCCCCAGGTGCTTAGCAACGGGCAAAACTGGGAAAACAAGAACCTCACTCACACCTAGGGTAACCTTTCCTCCCCTAGCATGTAGCTGGGTCATGCAGTTTAGACCCCCTGACCTTTCCTCCCCTGGCATGTTGCTAGTCATGTGGATTAGAACCCCTTAGAGCAGCGGTCACCAACTGGTGGTCCGTGAGGTTGGCTACCGCTGCCTTAAAGGGAGAACTCACGAGGGGGCCAAAGGATAACCCTTGGCTGACCTCAGGACCAGCTACATTGACAAATAACCCCTGTCATGGCAACAACCAATCCTAGAGACCATGACCCTGGAAAGACACACCTGTAAAACTTATAAATATTCTATTGGGACTTTCCTCTCAGACCTCCAGATAAATCCCCTCAAGAGGGAGGACCCAGTGTGGCTTTCTCTATTGAGCACACCCTGGCCTTTCCCCACCCCTTCCCAGCTGCACTTTCCTTGCCTCTCTCTCTTAAGCTCCAAGGGCACTCTTATGCCTCTGTAACTTGCTTCCTGAGCCCATTTCTTCTACAGTTCACTTCTTCTACCTCTGGGACTTCCTAAATAAACTTTCTCTTATCGATTTGAGTCTTAGCTCTGAATTTTTTCTTAGCCAGAACTCAAGTACTGAAGTTGCTGAACCAAGGTCAGGTCTGACTCCGCGGGTCTAACATCTGGTGCTGTTCTTTCTCCCAACAAGGAGAAATAATGTTTCTTAATTTTGCAACTGGCTTGATCTGCCTCTTCTCTCCCAGCCTGATTAATAACAGCACTGTTTTTTCTTTTTTAAGTCCGAGCTGACTTTTCCTCTTTTACAGAAGCAAATATTCCAATGTCTGGAAAAATAACAGTAACATTTCATGGAACAAAGGGGAAACAGAAACTCATCTTGAGACAGGTATGTATCTATTAACCTATACTAGTTCCCCAAAAATGTATACTCACACTTTGAATAATTATAAAGGCAGTGTTTATTAAATTATATTTCATTTTCAAAATTTTCATCAGCTGTTACAATTGTATACATTTTTGGGACTCCCTGCATATCGATAGATTAGATATAAATTCTTTATATATAATTTATTAATAAATTATATAATTTATTATATATATATAATAAATTATATATAAAGAATTGAAATTATATATAAAGAATTGAATATATATATATTCCTTTCTCCCTGCTTTCCTAAAGATCAGCAGGTTTGGAGAAGGAGACAGGAATCTTGGGACAGTGAGCCTTTCTTGGAGCTCAGCCCAGGCTGGCTAACTCAAGTCACAGCCTCATGCCCACACAGCACACATATACTAGAGGGAAATCTGGGAGCCTGGGGTAAAGGGGCACCCCTTCCCAGCATCACACCGAAAGGCCGGAGTACAAAGACCAGGGCTGGAATATGTCTCCAAATTCACGCCACTTTCCTCCGGAGGGTGCAATGGTTAAGCTGTGGTTTTGTGATCTATGGTTTTTCTCAGGGCTGCATCTTGTTGTTGATGGCCTTCACTCTGGGGTTCATACATTGAACTCGGAGCCATTCTGGGCCGCCGGATCGGTGCGGCCCTGAAGCGGAAGTGCAGAGGGCACATCAGGAAACCCAGAGCCCAATTACCGCCCCAAATTCCATAGTCACAGCAACTAGGTTCACACTTAGGCCCGCGCCGCCCCCGCGCCGCCCCCGCACCCATTTCCTCAATGTCTGCAACCTACTCACCTCTGGCGGTGACACCAGCAACCAAGCCCTTACAAAACTATGTGCAGAGGCCTGTGGGAAATGTAGTCTGCGGAAGGGAGGGCCTGGTGTCCGCCCCAAAGGGTTGCCGGGAGTGCGCTAAGGCGGAGCGGAGCGCTGGGCTTGAGGATGGGCTGGTTGGGGAGGGGTTTCAAGGCTGCCCGGGACTGAACTAGGTGCCCACCCTCAGCAAGGTCAGGATTGTGTTTGTTGCAGAGGGAGCTCTACCAGGGTTTAGAAAGAAGTGTTGGCTTCAGCAGGCAGCTGATAGAGGATTTGTGCTAGGCACACAGACCTGAAACTTAAACCAAAGCTAACTCAAAATGGATCATAGCCCTAAATATATAGGGTGTCCCAAAATTCACGCAAGATTTGAATTTTGCGTGAGCATTAACAACAACAAAAAATAAAAGCCTAATTTTACTTGGTTTATTGAATCAGATTCTAATATCTGTTGCCCTTTGATTTCAATCCCTTCAATGTGATAAGCATTACCAAATACCAATTATGGCCCAGGAGCAGGGACAATGAAGACCAATGTAGACCACAGCTTTGCATATGTGCCAGCAAAGCGGTGGAGGCCATTTACCCAATGTGCTATTCCATACATAACCCTATACTGTATACTTTATGAATCAATAAAAAATTTACATTTTTAAATTATAAACCTGTGTTTTCTATCAAAATTACTTCTTGCGTGAATTTTGGGACACCCTATATAACACAAAATTATAAAACTCTGGAGAAAACCTGTGATCTTAGGTTTGTGAATAAGTTTTTATTTTTTATTATTTTTTAATCCTCACCTGAGGATATGTTTTTTATTGATGAGAGAGAGAGAGAGAGAGAGAGAGAGAGAGAGAGAGAGAGAAATGTGCCTCCCCAACGCACCCCGAAAGAGGATGGAAGCTGCAACTTAGGTATGTGCCTTGACCGGAAATGAACTGAAACCTTTTGGTGTACTGGTGGTCACACCAACCAACTGAGCCATCCGGCCAGGGCTGTGAATGAGTTTTTAGAAATAACACCAAGGGGGATCGGAGCATGAGTTTGTGTGTGTGGGGGGAGGTTGGGGGTTAATGGGGGGGATGAGGACACATTTGTAATACCTTAACTAATAATAAAAAAAAAAAAAGAAAGAAATAACACCAAAAGCATGATTTGGGGGGGGGGGGGAGTTAAACTTTATTAAAACTGAACTTTTGCTGCTAGAGTCCATTCATTGTCTTCACTAGCTGAGTTTAGACAGAGACCCCCCAAAAGCTAGTAACCTTTGAAGTTCTAGCAAAGGTCAGAACTGCACCACCCAGTTAATTTAGGTAATAATAGTTGAAGCATCCCCACCTTAGTTCACTTAATTCCTTAGATACTTATGTAGATCCTTGTTGATTATTGTTAATCAGATACTCTGCCTACTCCCGGAAATCTATTGATGAGCTAATCAGATACTTTGTCTATTCCTGGAAATTGTTTGCTGATCTGTGTGTCATTGAAACCTCCTTACCCTAAGGGCTACTCCAGATCAATAAAAGATTGGAGCAGCCTGAGCAGTGGGGGAAGTCCTTCGGGACTTGCCGCCTGGTCCCCCAATATTGCAAAATTATCTCGTGTCTTTTTCTCTCATTTGTTGTGCGGCTCCTCTTTCAGATACCGAACCCTACTCCACGCAGAACGTGGAGGGAGTCTTACTCGACATTTTGCTGTGTAACAGACACTGCTAAGAGGAATGAAAAGACAAGCTATAGACTAGAAGAAAATATTTGCAAATACATATCTACATAATTATTTGTATACAGAATATATAAAGAACTTTTAAAATTCAATAAGAAAATAAACAAACCATTTGAAAAATGGGATAAAGCTTTGAGCACACACCTCACCAAAGAAAATATACAGATGACAAATAAGTGTATGAAAATATGCTCAACATAATTTGTCATTAGGGAATTGCAAATTAAAATGACAATGAGATATCACTGTCTTAGTTTGGGCTGCTATCACAAATTATCATAAACTGCATAATGTAAACAACATTTATTTCTCACAGTTCTGGAGGCTTGTCAACAAAGCAAGATCAAGACAATTGGCAAATTCATTGTCTGGTGAACGGTTTGCTTCCTGGTTTTCAGGTGATCATCTTCTTGTTTCACCTTCACTGGTAAGAGCAGAGGGCAGAGGGAGGGGAAGCACACTCTTCTTATAAGGGCAATAATTCCATTCATGGCAGCTACTAATTAAGGTGATGTGTGTTGAAGCAACCAAAAAAACCCTTTTTTTAGTGACTGAATTGGGAGATCTAAAAGAGTGATGATGCCCCAGTCACCAGTTTCAAAGATTGAAGTTGAAAGGGTGAGTCGTCGTGCGTGCCCTCGCCCGAGGAGATGGAGGAGGAGGCGATTGCTGGCGCCCCCGGGAACGAGATGGAGGTCGTGGGCTTCCTGTCTGGGCTGGAATTGGTTGATCTGCTGGACCCCCGGCAACCGGACTGGCCCCTGGAGCCCGGGCTCAGCTCGCCCTGGGGGGGGCTGGGACTGCACCCTCCATCTTGCCCTGGGTCCTCCATTTATGGGGCAGCCGCCATGTGCTCAGGAGAGTGCCTTCTTCCAGGAAGTCCAGGCCCCTGCTGGCCACACCCAGGATTTCTTTAAACTAACCAATGACAATCAAGGGACGTGCGCGCCAGAGAGATGACCACATCCTGTGTAACAAGACCCGACTCGCGCCTGGCCAATCGGCGGGGCCCACAGTCCCCTCCCTTGCCCTTACTATAAAACCCACAATCCCATCAAGCCTCGCTCTCTCTCGGCCACTGGGCTTACCGTTGTTGCATCGGTGAGTGTGGTCGGGGAGCCGAACTAGTTCGAAATGAAGGACTCTTTGCTTTTGCATCGGACTCGCTGGCTCCCTGATGGGCTTTTTGGGAACCTTGAAATCTGGGCACAACAGAAGTAACCCTCGTGACCTAATTACTACCCAAAGTCCCCTCATGACCTAATTACTACCCAAAGTCCCCTCCTTTTAATAGCATTACATTGGCTTTCAACATATGAATTTTGTGGGAAAATAAACATTCAGTTCATAACAAACCAACTATTAGAATTACTAAAATAAAATATATGTATAATATTAATTGCTGGTAAGGATAGAAAGTATCAGGAATGAATCTCATTTATTTCTAAAGGGAATCCAAAATAAGTACAGCTACTTTGAAAGAAAGTTTAGTAATTTCTTTTTTTTAAATATGTTTTTATTGATTTCAGAGAGGAAGGGAGAGGGAAAGAGAGATAGAAACATCAATGATGAGAGAGAATCACTGATTAGCCACCTTCTGCATGCCCCCCACTGAGGATTGAGCCGGTAAGCCAGGCATGTGCCCTTGACTGGAATCGAACCCGGGACCCTTCAGTCCGCAGGCCATGTTCTATCCATTGAGCCAAACCAGCTGGGTCAGTTTAGTAATTTCATATAGACCTAAACGTAGTTGTACCATATGATCCAGCAATTAAATAGCAAGTCTTAAAGAAGTAATATGCACAAATGCAAATTGCTAAGTGAAAGAAATGTAGCCTGGAAAGTCTATATGATCCATTTATATAAAATTCTGAAAAAAGCAAACAACAGAGAAATAAAACAGTTTACTGATTGCCAGAGGTTTAAGGATTTTGGAGAGCTGAATATGGTGAAGCATAGGAGAATATTTTAGATTGGTGAAACTATTCTGTATGTTACTATAGTAGTGGACACATGACAGACATTTGCCCAAATCCATAGAACATCACAGCACAAATAGTGAATCTTAATGCATACATATTTTTTTTCTTCTTAATTTTTTTAAATTAAATCTTTATTGTTCAGATTATTACCGTTGTTCCTCTTTTTTCCCCCCATAGCTCCCCTCTACCCGGTTCCCACCCCACCCTCTGCCCTTATCCCCCCCCTCCCCCCGCCACTGTCCTCATTCATAGGTGTACGATTTTTTTCCAGTCTCTCCCACACCCCCTACACCCCTTTCCCCCAGAGAATTGTCAGTCCACTCCCTTTCTATGCCCCTGTTTATTCTGTTCATCAGATTATTTATTAACTTGATTTTTAGATTTACTTGCTGATAGATGTGTATTTGTTGTTCATAATTTATATCTTTACCTTTTTCTTCTTCTTCCTCTTCTTAAAGGATACTTCTCAGCATTTCATATAATCCTGGTTTGGTGGTGATGAACTCCTTTAGCTTTTCCTTATCTGTGAAGCTATTTATCTGACCTTCAATTCTGAATGATAGCTTTGCTGGGTAAAGTAATCCTGGTTGTAGGTTCTTGCTATTCATCACTTTGAATATTTCTTGCCACTCCCTTCTGGCCTGCAAAGTTTCTGTTGAGAAATCAGCTGACAGTCCTATGGGTATGCCCTTGTAGGTAACTGACAGTTTTTCTCTTGCTGCTTTTAAGATTCTCTCTTTGTCTTTTGCTCTTGGCATTTTAATTATGATGTGTCTTGGTGTGGTCCTCTTTGGATTCCTTTTGTTTCGGGTTCTCAGTGCTTCCTGGACTTGTAAGTCTATTTCTTTCACCAGGTAGGGGAAGTTTTCTGTCATTATTTCTTCAAATAGGTTTTCAATATCTTGTTCTCTCTCTTCTTCTGGCACCCCCATAATTCGGATGTTGGTATGCTTGAAGTTGTCGCAGAGGCTCCTTACACTATCTTCATATTTTTGGATTCTTTTTGTTTTTCCAGTTGGTTGTTTTTTGCTTCTTCATATTTCAAATCTTTGACTTGATTCTTGCGATCCTCTAGTCTGCTGTTGGATCTCTGTATAATATTCTTTATTTCAGTTAGTGTATGCTTAATTTCTAGTTGATCCTTTTTCATAACCTCGAGGGTCTCACTAGAGTTATCAAGGGTCTCACTAAATTTATTGGCAGTTTCTAGAAAATTCTTGAAAAACCTTATAACCATAGTTTTGAACTCTATACACAGTAGTTTGCTTTCCTCCATTTCTGTCATTTGTGACTTGTTTCTTTGTCTC